GCTATAAAAATGAGCCCATTTGAATGTTCAAAACCCTGTCTTTTTCTCCTGTGGTATTTATAAACCATGCACTGCAAATTTTTTTTAAAAAAAATTATGAAGTTTTTTGTGGTGTGAGAAGACATAGCTGAGTGTTGTTCTGATCCACACAGTTAAGCAATATCTGAGGTTTGTTTTCTAATAACTATTTTCTTAAATGGACTGTGCTTTCCTCTTGCAGTCTGAGGAGCCAGTTCCCCACAGGTGGCTCTATAAAAGGCTGTATGCGCAGCGTGAAGGCTCTGGACAAAAATTTAGATCTGAAACGTGAAAAGACTATTGGGATCAGTTATGGGTGTTCTACAAACTTGCTGGTGAGTCCTGCCTTTGACACATTCTTATTAAATGGCTACAAACAAGAAATGGAACCATTTCAGTACTTGTGCCATTGATTCTGTCACCGTTTGGCAACTGTTAAAGACTTATTGATTTTCATTCGCAGATAAATAAACAGGCGGCGCAGTCCAACTTACCAGTGTTTACCATTCCCTTTCTATCTGTGAGTCCCTTTGTGTGTCTGTAATTGTATGATTGTTAGAAAATCACAAAAAGCTGGTCTAATCCCAGCCGGCCAGTGACTGCCCCATCTGTCTCCTATCAGCCATTATGGAAATGGGTGAAGGTGTCATCAACAGTGCCACCAACAGGACTGACTCATTAATAATTTGTTCACTGATGATCTGATTCTATTTGGCTCCAAACATTGTTCCAGTCTTTCTTCAAATGCAGAAGAAAGAGCTAAATTCCATTTGTTACATGGAAGTGACTGTCATTGACATGAAGGCAGCATTTGACTGAGAGTAGCATTAAGAAGCCCTGGTAGAATTGAAGTTGGTGGCAACTGGGCAGAGAGAAGAGGTTCTTTCCACAGGCTGGGGCCAACACCAAAGAAGGTTGGCTGCGATTATTGGAGCCAATCATCTCAGCTCCAGGACATCTCTGCAGGAGTTCCTCAGGTTAGCGTTCTAGGTCCAATCACCTTCAGCTGCTTCATCAATGACCTGCCATCCATCATAAAGTCAGAAAGTGGGAATGTTTGATGCTGATTTTAAGCATTGCTTGTGACACCTCAGATACTGAAAGAGTTCATGCTTGTCTGCAACAATTCTGGGACAATAAATGATACATAGATTTGTCCCTCTGGTGTTAGCAACTGCTCATATCCAATGAGAAAAGATCTAAAGTCCTCAGCTCTACCCCTTGCCTTGTTGTTCGATGGTATTGCCATCACTGAATCCTCTGCCAGCAAAATCCTGGGATTGCCATTGATCAGAAATTTAATTGGAATTCCCATATGTGTACTGAGGCTGCAAGAGTAGGTCCAACACTGCAAATGTTCTGGCAGGTAACTTGCATCAGTACTCCCCAAAGTCTGTCCACCATCTACGTGGCGCAAGTCCATCAGGAATGTGATGGAATAGAATACTCTCCACCTGCCGGAGCAAATGCATCTCTAACAGGAACAACAACCATGACAAAATGGCCTACTCAATCGACATCGCATCTACCCCTTAAGTATTTATCCCCTCCATCAGCAGCACTTTGTGTAGCAGCAGTGTGTACATTCGACAATATGCACTACAGCGACTCACCAAACTTCTATCTACAGTACTTCCAAAGCTTTTGCCTCTATTGCCTAGAAGGACAGGGCAGCAGATACATATCCATGTGTTCCTCTCAACTCGCGCACCATCCTAAACGTGCAACAGTACAGTTCTATTGGTCAAAACCTTGGAGCTCCCCTCCTCACAGCACTGTGGGGGCTTCTTACACCACATAGTGTGCAGCAGTTAAAGAAGGTGACTCACTACTATCACCTCAAAACTAGTTCAGGATAGACAATACATGTTAACAATGCTTGCATTCCAAGAGCTAATAATAAAACTTCTGACTGTAGAGGCGGGGGAAAACAAGTGCTTTCAGATTTTTAGAATACTTTCGCAAGTCCCAGAGTACATTAACTTTCGTACCAAGTTGCACAGCCTCCATATTTTATCACTGTTTCATTGAGTATATTTTTATGCTGCCTGGTCAGGTATATTCATTCTAATGTGTACTGTGTGCAGCCTTTGAGTCCTTGTCATTCCAGCTAATGGGTGATCATTTCAGGTATCAAGTTCGAACTCTATTAAAATACTGAATTATTTATTTTAGATTAGTTAATGCCATTTATTAGTAAAGCAGAGCAAGCAAATTTGATACAAGCACATTAAAAAATAATACAAACTTGTTTGAACAATTTCAGGTGTAATCTTGGGAAAAGAAAATGTAACGCTGTAAAACATCAGGTTGAGTTTAGGTTTGAGCGCTTAAAGTTCATAGACAATAATAGCTGTTAGGAAAAGAAAATGATGTTAATGTAACATATCATTGTGTGTTTAAACCTATACAGTAATTCATATTGTTTGTTTTCAAGACTCTCACAGTTTGCAACATTAAAGCCATCCAATTAAAACAAATCGTGAGACTGATGTGGGAGAGTTTTGGATATTATGTCTGACTTAAACAGTGTTTCTGTTTTATTGGGAAGGGAAGGAAGAGAAAAACAGAAGTGGCCACAAAAACTGTGGAAAGGCAATTATAATTATTATACCTTTATGCTTTCTTCCTTAGTTAAATGTACGCACCGGCCGGGTTAAGAAGCTGTTGACGATGTTTTTCCTGACAGTGGTTTAACATTACTTCCCTCTGACTTCATTGTGTATTTCATTTCAGGTGTCACGTTCCGCAGATTTCAAAGGCCAGGGATATCTGAGCCTGATCCCTCAGAAGGTCCCCATGCTTCGCAACAACTTCATTTCAGGATTTGGCTTCCAGACCCAGCAGCGGAATGCCCTGATGTTTTACTACCCCTTGCCGGTAAATGTGAAGCGTTAATGAGAAATGCTAATGTTAACAGTTTGTGTTGGTCACACAAAGGGTGGAAGCGATTACCACTAGAAAGGTGCAAAAGGTTAGAATCTTGAGGACTCAATTTCTTGGAAGTTAGGGCAGAGCAGGACTTCAACTTACTGACAAGTCCAGTTGCTGAACCTACACTCTGCCCTCAACATGCCCCTCATAAATCCAAGGGTAAATGAGGCATGGAATCAGCAAATATAGATATTTTGGGCAAGCTGGAATTGAAATACCAAGAATTTGGATGTAACATACTAACGTGCGTAGCACACTCAGTGCCAGTGTTTCCTTGAGTTTTCATGCTTGATATTTGCCTGAAACCCTGGTAACACAGTTGGGAGTTCATAAAATCAAGGAATTCAAATCCCAAATATCTGTTGTTGACTTGTACCTTTTTCGTGTCAGAATTTGCAATGATTTTGCTCAATTTCAACAAAACAAAGAATAAAGTTTACTCGTACAAACAGAAATTGTTGGAGAAACTCAGCAGGTCTGGTAGCATCTGTGGAGAGAAAGCAGAGTTAACGTTTCAGGTCCAGTAACCCTTCTTCACAACTGAACTGAAGTTCTGAAGAAGGTCTGCTTCCTCTCCATGGATGCTGTCAGGCCTGCTGAGTTTCTCCAGCAATTTCTGTTTGTGTTTCAGATTTTCAGCGTCCACAGTATATATATTTTTTTTAAATTAAGTTTTGTCTATTTGTTGATGGTGCTGATGCAATGAAGTAATTCATGTCCCAGAAGTACGTGCTTGATTTTGAGATTCAACTAGTCAGGACATATGACACATCTAGATTAGAATGACAATGTGCCACCATGCATGGTTAAAATATGCGAAGTTATAGAAATATTCAAACTCCAGCGCAGACACAGATGGTTTAACAGATCCAGTTTTGTTAGTATAAATGACCACATATATTTCGTTATGGACTATAAACTGGAAAATGGGAATTGAACACCACTAAATTACCAAAAAATACCTTAAGAATTTATTCCTGCAATTTGATCAAGTCAGATTATGTGTTTTTTATTCATTCATGGGATGTAGGCATCACTGGTTGGGCCAGCATTTATTGCCCATTCCTAGTTGCCCTTGAGAAGATGGTGGTGAGCTACTGCCTTAAACCGCTGTGGTCCAACATTGCGTTATCATAACTAAAATGAAAGGAACTGTGAGAAATAACTCCCCAGCTTACAGTCTGGACTTTTGGTCTACAGAATTTTTTTCTCTATGTATATTTTTACACCGTAATATTCGAGTCAAATGTCTGTTTTGTCTGTCTCATTCATGAGTGGATGTGTATGTGAGAGAGATTTTAAAGGGATATAGTTTAAGTCATATAGTAGTAAATTAATAATGCTTTTTTTTTGTTCCCAGTTGTTAATGGATAAGTTTGCTTATGATAAATATTTATTTCCCTCAATGATGGAATCTGGTGTGAATTACATATTTCCTTTACCATCTTGTTAGTTTAATTGGACAGTTACACCTTGGTGACAGCTTCTGGAATAGTGCAGTTCTGTTATCGGCACACTGTAACAATTTAGGTCTTAACTTTATATACGACTATAGTTAGCCTCTTGGTGAACTTAACCATCTTTTTTCTTTACTATATTAGGAAGGAAACTGTCAAGTATCTCTGAAGCAGGGATTAGTGACACTTAAGGTGTTTAATACTGAAGTTAAAAGTCCAACTGAGTATACAGATGGGAGCCCACATTATGTCTCTTTCTCCATCATAAATGAACAGTAAGTTATTTGGCTTTCATAACTTTCAAGACTTCTAAAGGTAACAAGCTAAAACCAATAAAAAGCAGAGGATTTCTAGAAATACATAGCATCTGTGAAAAGGAAATTCTATTGTATAGTTATTTATCCATTGCAATAATTGAAAATATCCCTTTGCCCAGAAAAGTTCTACAAGTTTTGGACGAGTTTTGTTGCCAGGCGGTTCTTTCTAATTATTCTTTCAGATGAGGTATTTCACCCTGACGCTTCTTGTGTTGTTCCTGCACTTTTTGTGCTATATAAGATGAGGGGCATAACTGCTTACGAATGGAACTCTTACAATTTTGGACACTTATGATCGGGTGTAGCATAGTCAGGTGGATAGCCAATCCCTCGAGTCTTGTGAACCATATGTCTCAGTGCATATTGAGGTGATGTGTTACAAATCACTCAAAAGTCTTAATTGCTGTAATGACCTACACTTAACATACACGTTTTAGTCCGGAACTTTGGATTGTGATGCCAGAAGTTCTCAACATTTATTTCCAACATGTGGCTGACTAGGAAACTCTCTTGCTCATGCTGCTTGTCATTGGTATCTGTTGGAAGGATTTGTAGGTTGATAACCAGCCCATTTACAGAAGAAATAGGAACAGGAGTAGGCCATTTGGTCCCTCAAGCCTGTCCCGGGCCCCTCTCCTCTTTGGTGCCAGCTTCTCAAAGCCGCCAACTCCTCAATATCTCAAAAAGCTCATCCATATCCTCCTTTAAAAATTTGCAGTTACCTAGCCTCCACACTCTTGAGGGTAGAGAATCGGGACAGACACGGGCTACACTCTGGGTGGAAAAAAAACCCTTCATATCTCAATTTTAAACAAATGACCCCTTATTTCAAAACTCTGTCCCCTAGTTTGAGATGCCCCCATAAGTGAAAGCATCTTCTCAAAATCTACCCAGTCAAGCCCCCTCAGAATCTTGTGTGTTTCTGTAATATCACCCCACATTCTCGTAAACTCTAATGAGTAAAGAGCAAAACAGTTTTGCCATTCTTGACAAATCAACTGTTTTATCTCAATGTGGAGATGCTGGTGTTGGACTGGGGGTGGGCAAAGTCAGAAGTCTGACTTCTGACTTTTATCTTGAGGAATCAGTCAAGTGAGCCTCTTCTGAACTCTCTCCAGTGCCAGTTCAGTCTTCCTTTCTTGAACAGGGGCATCAGAGTGTTTTTCAATCCACTAGAACCCTCCTAGAATAAAGGAGTGGTTTTGAATATATCAACCAATGCTTCCAATATTCCCCTGTCCTGAGGAAGGGTGACCGGACCTGAAACGTTAACTCTTTTTTTCTTTCCAGATGCTGCCCGACCTGAGCTTTTCCAGCAACTTTGTTTTTCTTCCAATATTTTAAGCTACTTTCTTTAAAACCCGTGGGTACAGGCTGACAGATCTTAGTGACTCATCTGCCTTTAGTTCCATTAGACCGATGCAAACTGCTATCTCACTATTGCCCATTCTTAATTCCCAGTTCCTTCTTCAAAGTGAGGCAGTGAGAAAGGGACTCACGGAGTTCACATCTGAGAGAGGCAAAGAATTTCTTCAAAGTTGCTCCTTTCTCCAGATGCTGCCTGGCCTGCTGTGTTCTTCCAGCCTCCTGTTTGTCTAACCTGCCATTCCTTCCATTGAGTTTGAAATTCTACCACTTGTGATCATTCCCTGCAGAGGGTCCTTAACTGCAAAATCTCTTATTAATCCTTCCTCATTACACATTATTAAGTCTAAAGTAGTCTGTTCCTGGGTATGTTGTACATTGTACTGCTACAGGAAACGATCCCTGATGCATTTCAATTCCTCTTCCATGTTACCCATCCCCATTTGATTTGTCCTGTCAATATGCAGATTAAGACACCTATGACATTTGTAATCTCCTTCATGCCTCTATCGTTGCCCAGTTTACACTTTGTCCTACGATAGGGCAACTTTTTGGGGGCCTTTGACAACTCCCACCTGTGACTTATTTTCCTTGCTATTCCTTATGCCCACCCATACTGATACTGCATCATGAACCATTGAACTTGTATCTCTACCACTACCATCATCACCACCACCACACTGATTAACTCCTTTATTAACACAGCTACCTCACCTCCTTTGTGCCTCTCCTTCTCACATAATGGATGTACCTTCCTTGGTCCTCAAGTCAAACCAGCAATGCCTGGTTCAGGGCCAGAGAAGCTACTCTCTGTGCCACAAGGCCTCCAATCTCCACTGTGTTCGTGTTTAATTTTGTACCCTGTAGCTTCAGGGTTGAGATTGCTAATTAGATAGTAAATTAAGTGCACTTTGGTTTTGGAGGCCTGTGCTATCTAAGCTGAACTGACTTCCCCAAACCCATTTTGCAAAATTTCCTTACAACTGGAATCGGTTCAGTCCCAAACGACTGAATTAAATTTGAATTCCTGTCAGGAAAGTATCTCGCCCTTCCTCGGTTCCTTAGCATAAAAAGTAAATAGTTTTGTATCAACAGAACTAACTAGTTATCTTTTTTGTTTTATAGAATTAATTGAAACAATTGTTAGGTCTTTTTGAAATTTGATTTCATTGAGTCTGGATCTAAACTATTTTCTCATAGTGCCTTTAAAGGAATGTGCTGTTCTGATTTGACATAGAAATATGTTGGTACACATAACTAACATTCCATATCTTGTTGCCACATATCAGATATGTGAACAGGACATTCCCCTCCTTAGAGAATCTAATAGTTGTTTACAGTTCAGAGAGAAGACAGCGTGCCATTACGTCTATGCTGGCCACAAGAGTTATCACGTCTCCTTGTTAAACTTTCCTTTTAAGTCCCCCTTTAAGATACCAGATATCAGATACCAGAAAATTAATCCTGGTCAGATTCAAAGTAGGATCTCTAGGTGATTATAATCAGCAGTTTGGATTTAATCTTTTCTTGGTCTCCTTCAACGAAAGAACTCCTATTGTACATTTGGCAACATCAGGACATTTCGTGTTACTTTGCATCTGGTGAAATACTTCTTTGAAGTTGCAGTCAGAACTCAGCATTATCATTTTGCTTTCCTCTCTAAGGATTAAAATGACCATTGATGATCAGGAAGAGCAGGAGTCAAAATTACCGAAGAGAAAACGACGCCAGTCTAGAGAGATTGAGAAGGGGCAGGTCTACCTTGGTGGTGTGCCAGGGACTGATCTCGATGCCAACCTGACTGGTTGTATCAGCAATGTTTTCATTTATCGGTGAGTTATGAGAACCTACAGGATTCATAGAAACAGTGCTCCGTTTATGAGGCTGAGTAATAAGAGTTGGTTGATTATTGCGTTGAATAATTGGAGTTTGAAAGCACCGTACTTCTTTAAGTTTTACAAAACACAATTACAAATGTCACTTGATGTGCAACAAATTTCATTCTGTGCCTTATTTAATTGCTTTTCACTGCTTAATATAATCCAAATGTTCTTCTCAAAATACTGAACTGTTGAATCTTGCATTTACAAAGGTTGGCAAACCTGATGTTCATTTGGTTACCATGACAGAATACACTGTCCTTGTGTTGCTTGTATGTTTTATGGGGTTGATTTTAAAACCATTGTAAGTTTTAAAGCTGCAGAGCTTGGAACAAATGCTAAACAATCTCACCGGCTGAAGACAGGTTTTACTTGAATGTGACTGGTCTACTTCTGACCTGAAACAGGTGAGAAAAGGAGGAGCTTGGAGAACCCTTAGTTACTCACCTGCTTCCGTGTGAGACATAGGGAGATGGTTTTGGGAGGGTCTCATAGGGTTTGGGGAAGCTGCCCTCTCCTTGTGAGGTTCAGTTGAGCACTCGTGCTGCTTCAGGCCTCTCACAAGAAACTTTTACACATTTTGGTCTTTCCCCATTTGTTTCTAACCAGCATCAGCTTGACAACAATGTGGCAGCTCTCCCACACTAGTGGAGCATTAAATTCAACACTGCAGTTCAAGATAACTTCTTTTTATCGGTATTAGCAATAAGAAGGGGACAATAGAGTGCAGCTGTAATAGAATGGAAGACAAGGGTGACTGAATGGTAAAACAAATGGTATGTGTGTGTCAGAAGAAGGGAGGTGGTAATAGAACAAGAAACAAACGTCAGTCTAGAGGAGGTATAAATGGCTAATCTATAACTGTCACAAAAAAGAGCTTCAATCCAAAAACACAAATAAAACAAAGCAAAATGAATTGGGAAGAGATAATGATCTGAAATTGTCAAACTCTATGTTGAGCCAGGGAGGCCGTAAAGCACCTTTTATAAAACGATCATGTTTCTTGAACTGGCATTGGATTTCAATGAATAAAAGTAGCAGGCCAATAGCTGAGAGCTCAGCGTGGAAGTAATTTAGTGGCTTTGGAGTCCAATAGTGATTGTAACATGTGAGTAGTAGATTTAAACCTGAGATAAGATGTTACTTCTCTCAAAGGGTCGTGAATATGTGGAATTCACTGTCTCAAAGTGTGATGGATGCTGGGACATTGAGTAAGTTTAAGGAGGACACAAACAGACTTTTAATTAGTAATAGGTTGAATGATTATAGGGAATGGCAGGGAAGTAGAGTTGAGATCGAGATGAGATCAGCCATCAAAAAGCAGAGCAGGTTCAAGGGGCTGAATTGCTGCCTCCTCCTAGTTAGTTCTTATGATATTAAAATATCATCATGATACGAACATTTCAACTTAGTTTTGGTGGAAGTAGATCAAAGGTAACTTTGGAAAAAGGAACTGGGTAAATTCCTGAAAGGAAACATTTTCAAGGATATATGGAAAGTGAGACTATCAAATAATGCTTTTAAAAAGCCAACACAAGTATTGTTGACTAAATGTCCTGCTGTACCAATCATTCAATGATTCAGAAATGTTTTCGCTGACATTCCGCAGTGTGTATGCAAACAAATGAATGCTTTGTGTGTTTCTCACTTATTTTCTCGTACAGCGAGGACTCAAATGAGCAATCAGTTGTAGATCTCCAGAAGCATGAGGTAATGGTTGGGGCAGAGTTAAACAGTTGCCCCAGTGAAAAGCCACCCCAGCAGATCCGATCGCACAAAAAGGAGAAATCCAGACAGGTAAATGAAACTTGAGTCAAACACTTGCATGTCACTATCCCAGGCCATTAAGTTACAAGCATTCACAGATGTAAACTCTGAGGTCTTTGCGGTTAAATCAATTCAATGTTGTACCTCAAGATTCAATGACATTTTCTACAATTTCTTGCATGCATGTTGCAACCGGTAGTCCTCCTTCTGGGCAAATGCGTACATTTTTGCTTATTTTTTCTTTGTCGAGCTCATTTTAAAGAATAATGCTTCTCTACTTCATATCTGTGAGCACCTTGTGTTTAATAATCATCGCAATTTTCCATCTGATTTGAACCTTGAAGGCAATAACCAAGCTTGAGAGCAAACAGCGACTTTCCGAAAGTTGCCAGTTGCCAAAACAGCCAGCTATTGGTGATGCTCATTATTTCAGGGGCTCCCATCTCAGCCGTCTGGAGTACGACAATATCCCAGATTCATTCCAAATGAGGTAAGATCCTCCCAAAAATCACTTCTTCTTCTTCTTCTTCTTCTTATCAAGTGACTTTAGCCATTCAGTTGAAGCAGTCGCATTTCTTTTCATTGCTTTTTTGCATTATTTCCGTGTTATACAATCATAGTTATACAGCATGGAAACAGACCCTTTGATCCAACTCTTCCGTGCCAACCAGATACACTAAATTAATCTAGTCCCATTTGTCAGCATTTGGCCCATATCCCTCTAAACCCTTCCTACCCATATACCCATCCAAATCTAACTATAAACACTGTGTGTCTGTAATCGCTCTGCATGTAAAGTCTAAACTGCTTTTCTGATCTTTCTGTCAAAGTGGCAGTTCATCACTGGATCCACTCCCCCCCACCCCACCCCCGGAACCCTTCAAAATCCTGAATTACTATTGATCAGAAATGTAACTCAATCAGCCACATAAAGCAGCAAGAACAAGTCAGATGCTAGGAATTTTGAAACAAATAACTCATCTGAATATTGAAAGCCTGTTCACAATTCTGGAGTTTGAAATGAGTACTTTCCGCTTAGTTGAACATGTACAATTCCAACAACACACCAGAAGCTCAACAGTTTCCAGGAAAAAGCATTTCACTTAATTGGCACACCATCCTACACATTCCCTGTCTCAACTACAGGAGTACGGTGGTAGTGTGTACCATTTACAGGATACACTACAGTAGTCACCATGGTCCTTCAATACCACCTTCCAAATGCCCAACCATTACCACTTAGAATAATAAGTGCAACAGATGCAGGGGAACATCGCCATCTGTAACTTCCCTGTAAGGCAGCTAGCATCCTGATTTGGAAATGTATCACTATTCCTTCTTTGCCAGCTGGGTCAAAACCCTGGAATTCATTCCCAACTCCACAAGGACTGTACACTGCGGGGTGGGGAGGGGACATGGTGGCTCATTTGTTAGCACTGCTTTCTCACAGCGCCAGCCGTGGGTGACTGTCTCTGTGAAGTTTGCACGTTCTACCCATGTCTGCATGGGTTTCCACTGGGTGCTTTAGTTTCCTTCCACGGTCCAAAGATGCGCAGGTTATGTGGACTGGCCATGCTAAATTGCCCATAGTGTCCAGGGATGTGCAGGTTCGGTGGATTAGTGATGTAACAAGGGATAGGGTCAGAGGCTGGGTCTGGGTGAGATGTTGTTTTGAGGGGGCGGGTCAATGCAGACTTGAATGGCCAAAAGGCCTCTTTCCGCACTATAGCGATTCTGTAATTCTGTGACTAAAGTATTCAAGGAGGCAGCTTACTAACACTTTCCTGAAAGCAAGTAGGAATAAAAAATAAATGCTGGCCTGTATCCCATGAATGAATATTAAAAAAATCTGAAAGGTTACAGACAGCTGGTTTTTCAGTGCATCAACTCTTGACTTCTGTTAATAGAATCATCCTTCTTTCCAATTCAGAATCTTGTACCTGTCAATAATCTGATCAGTTCCTGCTCTTCATCACTGTTTCACTGGATAATGTAAGGCCAAGTTTATGTTCAGACGTGCCTTTTCTTGCCAATCTATCCCTGGAGCTCAGCCAACTCAGTCATGTATGAGCCTATTGATTGATGGCCTAAAGGTCTGGAAAATATACTTTGTTGTTAACTTGTTAGTGAATAAATACTGATTCATGATAGTATTTTGAGTTGTGTAACTTATGAAAATGAAAGTAAACTTTGTATGAAACCTTGGGTAATTCCTGACGTAAGGTAATGGATATAGAAACGTGAACATAGGAGGTATAGTTAGTAAGTTTGCAGATGACACCAAAATTGGAGGTGTAGTGGACAGTGAAGAAGGTTACCTCAGAGTACAACGGAATCTTGATCAGATGGGCCAAGGAGTGGCAGATGGAGTTTAATTTAGAAAAATGTGAGAAGCTGCATTTTGGAAAGCCAAATCAGGACAGGACTTATACACTTAATGGTAAGGTCCTGGGGAGTGTTGCTGGACAATGGGACCTTGGGTCCAGGTTCACAGTTTCTTGAAAGTGGAGTTGCAGGTAGATAGGCTAGCGAAAAAGGCGTTCGGTACGCTTGCTGTTATTGGTTATTGAGTATAGCAGTTGGGAGGTCGTGTTGCGGCTGTACAGGACGTTGGATAGGCCACTATTGGAATATTGCATGCGATTCTGGTCTCCCTGCAAGAGGAAGGATGTTGTGAAACTTGAAAAGGTTCAGAAAAAATTTACAAGGATGTTGCCAGGGTTGGAGGGTTTGAACTGTAGGGAGAGGCTGAATAGGCTGGGGCTATTTTCCCTGGAGCATCAGAAGCTGAGAAGTGACCTTATAGAGGTTTATAAAATCTCTATTTCCCCAGGGTGGGAGAGTCCGAAACTAGAGGGCATAGGTTTAAGGTGAGAGGAGAAAGATATAAAAGGGACTTAAGGGGCAACATTTTCATGCAGAGGGTGGTGCATGTATGGAATGAGCTGCCAGAGGAAGTGGTGGAGACTGGTACAATTACAACATTTGAAAGGCATCTGGATGGATATATGATCAGGGATGTGGGCTAAATGCTGACAAATGGGACTGAATTTATTTGAGATCTGGTCAGTATGGACAAGTTGGACCAAAGGGTTTTTTTTCTGTGCTGTATATCCCTATGACTGTGTGTATTGTAACATAGGAGGACTTTATAATTTTAATGTGTATTTGTGGAAACTAGGAGACTTCAAGCTGTTTTCTTTATGTTGCTTTTCCAGGTCTAGGTTTTCTTTGGAAGTTCTCTGTAATTCATCCCATGGGATGCTTTTCTACGTATCCAATGAATTGGAAACTTCCTTCATGGCTCTCTTGGTTTCCAAAGGCCGTTTTGTTTTCCTCTTTGATATCAAAGGGAAAAGATTGAGAATTCCAAGTAAAGAAAAGTGTACCGATGGGAAGTGGCACACAGTAAGTAATGCAAACTTGGAGTGAAAGGCCTTTAAAATCATTTCTATTTGTGACCTATCTGTTAATTTCTAGTTATTAAAACTGTTTTCTATCTTTTGCATGTTAGAATGACCTCGGACTACCAGTGCTTCACATTTTCCATTTACATTTCATTTCTAATTTAAAAAAATGACATACAAGAGCAGGAGTGGACCATTCAATAAGATCATAGTTGATCTTGGGCTTCCATTCCATTTTTTTCTGCCTGTTCCCCATATCACCAAAGGTCTGCCTAACACAGCCTTAAAAGTATTCAATGATGAAGTTTCCAAAACCCTCTGCTGCATAGAATCCCAAAGATTCACATTCTTCCTGAGTGAAGAAATTTCTCCTTATCTCAGTGCTAAAAGATTGACTGCTTACTTTGAGGCTGTGTCCCAGTGTTTGCGGTTCCCCGACCAGTGGAAACAATCTTTCATCATCTGTCATATCAAGCCACCTTCAGAATTCTGTACACGTCAATGCAGTTGTCATTCATTTTTCTAAACACCATTGAATATAGAGCCAATTTACTCCAGCATCACAGGACAACCTCATCCCAGGGATCAATTTAGACAAATTTCATACACTGTCTCATAGCCATTATGTATTATGATTAAAGAAATCCAAACAATCTTTCAAATTTGAAATTATATTTTAACAATGATTTGACTTTATATTCCCAAATACATCTTAAATATATACTAGTTTATAGGATTCCTCTGAGGGTATATATAACATGCTATATAAGAATGTTATAATCTTGTTTCAGGTCAGGTATTTTAAACTGGTGTAACACATTGGTTTTTTGGAGATCAAGGGCATGAGGCTCTAGTCGAGGTATCTCACAAGTGGGAACGAGATAGATTGTTGCCTCATTGCAGTTTATCCAGTTACGCCATTAAGAAAAAAATGTTGAAAGTTATTGCGATCAGAAATTTCTATTACAAGCCTTTTTTTTAAAACACCTATCTGTAGTGGAAACTCCAGATCTTGTGTAAAGAGGTGAATGAAATTTAGTGTTCCTGAAATCAGATCTACACGGAACTACAGAGCAGTAAGATGCAAACTCAATCCATAGTTTCCAGTTTGATCTGTGTCATCACAGACAACTATCCGAAGACTAAGTTCTATCCACTGAAATATCATGATGGTTGAAATCTTCAGGATACACAGAGCTCCTGTGCACTGGATGAAGCACACATTGGGAAAAGGTTTACAAGTCAGTTCACATTGGGGTTCCTCAGATGGAGATAGCTTTGTGTTGGGGAATAACCGACAAAAGAAGGGATAACTTTGAAGAAAGAACTGTAGGGAGATTTATAATGGAAATGAATCTTAAAATGATTGGAAACCGAAATAAAAATGCTTGGATTTGAACTGCATCATTTAGATTTTTCTTTCTGACAGGCTCACATATATAAAGCAGTAATGCTTGAAGGACAAAACTGTCCTCATTCTAAAGAACAGAAGAGACTCATTATTTGGTCTCATAAACCTTCATTCTGTGTATTTATTTCAGCTAAAAGTCAAATGGCATTCAAGAAAGCAATCTTCAATGGCTTAGAAACTTGACGGTTTAGCAGCCATTTTGCAAACATTTAACAACTTGCTAAGTATGTGACAGACAGGAAGTGCACGCACTTTCTGGATGTGCACTTCCAGCCATACTGGTTAAAGAACTGGGTCATCATGCAGTGCTGCCTATGCTCAGGAAGAACCAGACTACAGCTAGCAAATATTGAGTACTCTTAGCTGGAGGAAGCAATACTTAAAGCCCCATGGTCGCTTCAGGTAGCTAAAAACATGGGGCAGCACGGTGGCTCAGTGATTAGCAGCGCCAGGGATCCGGGTTTGATTCCACCCTCGAGCGACTGTCTGTGTGGAGTTTGCACATTCTCCCTGTGTCTGCGTGGGTTTCCTCCCACAGTCCCAAGATGTGCAGGTTAGGTGGATTGGCCGTGCTAAATTGCCCATAGCGTCCAGGGTTGTGTAGATTGGTGGGTTGTAGGGGGGATGGGTCTAGGTGGGATGCTCTGAGGGTCGGTGTGGACTTGTTGGGCTGAAGGGCCTGTTTCCACACAGTAGGGATTCTATGATCTATATGGCCAAACCTGTGTGCATTGATGTTTGAGTCCACATTTACTTCAATCATAATCAGCTTTAAATAAAGAAGTTTGCATGTCTCAATACAAATTAGAAGTGCAAGTAGGCCATTCACCTCTCGAGGCTGCTCCACCATTCAGTAAGATCATGGCTAAACTGATTACTCCATATTCCTGCTTAGCACAATAACCTTTCACCCTGTTGCTAATGAAGATTCCATCTACCTCTGCCTTAATACTCGAAGTATGTTTCTGAGAAGATGGTTGAACCAAAATTCCTAAGAGACTCAACCCTCTGAGGGAACATGTCTAACCTCTGAATTAGATGAGCAACCTCTTATTTTTAAACAGTAGCCAATGGTTCTCTATTCTCCCGCACAAAAATTACCTGCATAGGGTTCAAAATGCGTTAAGTTCATGTTTCATTGCATCAGAATTTGCCTGCGATGATGAATTGTATCATTTCTAGATATTTTTCAGTAGAGACAGAAACCAAGGGCAGTTGGTGATTGATGGTCTCCGAGTGCAAAGCAGCACAATTTCGGTCACAGCTCCTTTAGACGTCAGAGCTCCATTCTATGTGGGTGCTGTACCAAAAGGAAAAGCAAGGAGGATTGCTCAGGTATATAAAATTTTGTTTAAGTTAATTGCAGATGTGTTTGTAATCATTTGAGTATGATGCAGAAGACACAGACAGGCAAAGGTTGGTGTGACAGGAAGAAAGTTTGAAATCAGGATGGGATAGCAGGTCTCACCGCATGTTCTTTTGTTTTGTGTCTGTAACCTCCCTAAACTGACAGAACAATAGATGAAAACCCAGCCTTTGTCATATCATACCTGTTGATTCGTTGCCTAATTGTTCTGGCATCCTGAAATCCTAACATAACACCCTGAAGTGTTTGTAATGGTTTGGCATCTTTTCAAATCAACATGAAGTTGCTAAATCTTTGCTTGAAAGGGTCTTGATCTGACCATTTCACCCAAGTAGACATTTTCCTGTAAGCCTGCACAATGAATGTTGGCCTGTTTCCCATCATCCAGCAAAGTCAAAGGATGTGTCCCCACAAGCAGAACTGGATAGCAGTTATCTTCCAAGCTTAGCTGTTGTGCCCTGAAATTAGCTGATTCCTCGCTATCAATTCAGGATCCACAAAAAAACCAATTGAGCTCAATAGTAAGGATTGTATGAGTTGTTCTTGATGTAGATATGATGATTAGTTTTGATCATTGATTAAAGTTGAGGCCTGCCTTTTATTTCTACAGGGTATTCCTGCTGCTAAATTCAGTGGTTGTATCCGAAAATTCCAACTAGATGGAAAGATTATGGATCCTCCTTCACGTACATATGATGTAGCACCATGTTTTGAGCGAAATTTGGAAATGGGAACATTTTTTTCAGTCGCAGAGGGCTATTTAATTATAGGTAGTAAAAACCTAATTTACTTCATACTAGCCAGCCCTTCGAGATGCAATGAATTTGCTTTTTAAAAACTATGATCATATTTCCAGTCTTCTATCTGAATTATGTTTTCATTTTGTTTTCTTTCAGTTGATAAACCATAACTTCATGCCTCAGTTCTCATTAATATCTGCTATGGGTTCTCGTATTCTCTTCTGACTCTAGAACCCTGAATGGCAGAAAGTAAAGTCTTTTGAGATCATGCTCAATTCATAATTATTCACTTCTGAAGGAAGGTGTCAAATATAACAACAGTTAATCTATATTTTGCCCTCTTCTTATCTTAATTCTTCTGAGCTGGCTTCTGTGTTTGATGGGTTCCAGCAAGATTCACAAGATAGTAATTAGGAGGGAGAAACCAATATTGATTTGTCTTTCAAATGTACTAACACTTACTTTCAGTTCTAATTGTCTCCTGCCATATTATTTTCTTTCAGATGAGTCTTTTAATTTGGGTAAAGATTATGAGCTAATGCTTGAAGTGCGGCCCAGGAGTTTGTCAGGTGTACTTTTCCATGTTGGTAGAAAACAAAGCCTTTACTTCAGTTTGTACATTGAAAATGGGAAGGTGAGTAACTTTGTTTCTTCGTTTTGAGGCTGGGAGTAATCAACTTTTGTTTAAAGTTCATTGTTCAGAACAAAATTTAAAGTGTGGGTGCAGATGAAGTTTTATTTGGCTCAATTATGATTGCTCTAAAAAGATCTGTTCGGATTTTAATCTGGAAATGTAACCCATCATATCCAAATAAAGTGGCGTTGTTGCTTTCCTAACAGAGTTGTCCAGATTATCTGAGATAGTAAGAACTGCCGATGCTGCAGTCAGAGATAACAGTCTGGAGCTGGAGGAGCACAGCAGGCCAGGTAGCATCAGAGGAGCAGGGAAGTTGACGATTATCTCCCCCTGTCACTACCACAGACAAGAAGGAATGATGCCAAATACTTTGCATCAGGTTACTTAAAACTCTGACAATAGTATGTCACAAATATCAGTGCTCAAAAGTTCACCATAGGCACACACATTTTTATTGGATTATGCAAAATGTTCATACTTTCTTTGGTACTTGCAAAGACACATTCTGCCATGTGTTCAGAGCATTTTATACATAATTGCAAGTGAGGAGAAATGACTACCAAGATTTTATAAATCCTTTCAAAATCAAAATGGTTACAGTACAGAACATTCAACCATCATGTTTGTGCTCATCCTACCCTTTCCCTGTCACACTGAAATTTTTGCTCTCCCAATAATTACACTGTTTCTTTCAAAAGTCTTGATTGAATCTGCCTCCATAACACATTTAAGCAATGCATTCCAGATCCTAACCATAAGCCTCAAGAACTTCATTGTCACCTTTGGTTCTTTCACCATTCACTTTAAACCTCGTTCTTGTCCCTTATGCTATTGGGAACAATTTCCAACACCTGCTCTGTTGAGATCCCTCATATCAGCTTCTCTGATCTATCCACAGAACTGAAATACATTATCCCATTCTCAATTACCTTTATTGGACACCCTGAATGATTACTTCCTTCTTAAACAGAACATCTCCAAAAACTACTTCACTCTTAGTAGTGAATGTTGAGCTGGAAAGAATTTAGGAAGTGAACTAACAAAACAAAAGTACTTATTTTACAAAATGTTTTTGAAGAATGTGAAAGATGTAGCATTATCATGACCAATATCTCCCTAAACCTAGGCCATGAATTAATGAGTAGGTCTTGCCGCTACTGTGCAGCATCTTCCATTTGTTGCCTCAACTTGCAATGAACTCTGCAAGCATGGAGGGTTAGGATGCTCAACGCTATCAACAGTAGGCCATGGATCAAAATATTTGCATATGACATTTAGAAGCATGACTTTTAATCCTGAAGTTCAATACAAAGTTTAAATGAACAGTCCAAGACTCAGCTTCTCTTCGTAATCAAGTGAAGCGCTTATGTTAATAAGTAATTATTTTAGCTCTGTTTTTCATGCAGTGTATGCTATATGCTGGGTTTCTGGTGTTCTGCACAATGACTTTGTACCTTGTGTTGAACTTGTATCTTCCTTTTTTTTTAAGGTTATAGCACAGTTAAAAAATGGAGCTGGGGAATTCTCTACGGTAGTCATTCCACAACAGTCTGTGTGTGATGGACAGTGGCATCGCATTGCAGGTAAGAGTTAAGCTTGCGCTTATCATCAGATGGGCAGTCAGTGCAGTCCTGAGACTGTTTGTTTCATTCATTCTCTCATACATCTACAGGATGGAGACCCTTT